AATGCTTAAGATTTAAATTTGATATATAAAATGACATTTATTTATTATAAATCTAAAATTATGAGTTCCTATACTTCCTATAATAATTTATATAATTGAGTTTTTTTTTTTTTTTTTGTCGCGTTGGCTTTCTTAAATGTGCATCTAAGCAACGTCATGTTTAATAATTTTGTCAAATGGTCTAGTATGCCACATGCCAAACAAATGGGCCATGAGTATAAATCAAGCATTTTTAGGTTTAGAATACCTTTTTCATTTCTAAGGAATCATATCATCAAGAATTCAATTCTATTCTTTATTCCCATGACAATCCATTTTATTCCATAGAGGTGGGTCTATTTATAGTCTCACTGTTATAATTTTATTTTAATTTATTATTTATCTGGTATTATTTTTTAGATAAAAGTATTATAAAAGTGATTGTCTTATCCTAATTATTTTATTTTTTTATTCCTATCGCATTATTTTTTAGATGAAAATATTATAAAAGTGATTGTCTTATCCTAATTATTTTATTTTTTTATTCCTATCGCATTATTTTTTAGATGAAAATATTATAAAAGTGATTATTTCTACCTAATTAATTTACCCTTAATCTCTTTTATATTTACCTTTATATCCTAAATCTTGCGAGTAGTATTTTATTTGCTTCTGTGCTTACAACTTACAAGGGTTTACTATACTACCTTCTTCTGCGCGCTTCGCTCAGAAATAGACTTGCTCTGACGCCGAGAACATCTCGCCGGAATCCGTGATATAGTCTATTGTATCGGAAAATCGACTCTCTGGGCTCCTCCCGAGGTACACTCACCATTCACCCCCCTTCTTCTTTCGGAAGAATTTCATTCCGATCTTTTTTTCCGATTCATACTTCGATCTTAAGATTCCATTGATTTCTGCTGAAATTTTGTGTTGCACGCATTTTATTTGTTATTTTGGCTTCTGAAAGAAGCTGTAATGCCCTTAATTTTAGCAAAGGCTAGAGCTTTCAGCAATAGAATAGCAGATTTCACGTAGCTTTACTTGATGGTGTAGACTGCAAAGAGAAAGCGTTAGGAAAACAATATTTTATCTGGCCACCCATTTGTGTATTACTCTTGATAAATAGATAGC